CGCTTTGGAAAACGGTGAAGGTTGTCACTTTGTATTAGGTGCCTCTAAAGGCATGGCTTACTTAGAAAAACTGCTAAAGGGAAATAAATAAAATCGTGTTAAGAGTTTGATTTAAAGGGCCACTGTGTCAAATCCATTTGGAGCCCAGGACCTCTTTATGGATGTTTTCTTGTAATTACGGTCAGACATTGGGCGTCATCCCTGTCCAGGCGGTGAGGGGCCGGCCTTGGAGGTTTTGCAGGAAGGCGTGAGCTGTGGGCAGCTGGCAGCCCTTAACATTGGGTGAGAGCAGAAGTCTAAGCTGAGGCGGGGAACTTGGAGGGATCCCGGAACTTCTTTGAGACTCCCTTTCCTCAGCTGCAAAAGAATGGTGTGGGAAGCGCTTGCAGATTAATGTTAAGTATATGTTATATACGATGCATGCAAAATACGTGAATATTACTTCTCTATAGATGCTTATACATGTACCAGAGAGCTTTATGAATAGCAAATCTATGATAAAAGGAAAAACTACTTTTTACATCGTGCACAATGGAAAAAGCACAATCTATATCTTTTCATAATCACAGGTACTGATTATTGAGTGCCTATCCTGGGTGAGGTAATACAATTATTATCACTATTCTTAATGTAATCCTACAAAATAGTTAGTATCCCCATTTTATACTGAGAAAACTGAAGCTTAGAGAGGTCTTGTTTTCTCAAAGTCAGACTAGCTTGGAAAAGGTAAAGCCTGGATTTTTTTTTTTTTTTTTCAGAGAGAGATACAGAATGAGCACACATTTCAGCAGGGAAGGGGCAGAAAGAGAGGGAGACAGAGAATCCCCAGCAGGCTCCACGCCATCAGTGCAGAGCCAGATCCAGGGCTCGATCCTACGAACCATGAGATCATGACCTGAGGCAAAATCAAGAGTCAGCCGCTCAACCGACTGAGCCACCCAGGCACCCCAAAGCATGGATACATTAAATTGAATGTATCCTCACTGCTTCCCCCCCATTTTTTAGAAAAATTCAGAATCTATAAACCTTTCTTACAAAATATGTTTCACCATATGGTTTTGGAACTTTGGCAATAATTTCTTTACAGGAAAGAAAAACACTCAGTGATGATTATTAACTGGGTTTATTCATCTTTTCAACAATGTCAGGAACATGTGACACCTATAAAAGGAAGAAACCCCTGCTCACAGGGTGCCCAGAGTCCACTGCCTGTGTGCAGCCTGGACAGAACAAGAAAAAGACACAGCAGAATCTGCAAAACCACTTGATCTTTCCATTAAAGCAGAAAAGCATATGGCCTTTGCTTGACTTCTTGGCCAAAAAACAAAACAAAACAAAAAAACCAAAAACAAAAAAAAAAACTGGCAGTTTCAGAAACCTGATATTTAATTTGTTTACTTAATAGTAACATATTTAATCATAGTTTGTCTCAGCTCCCTACCAAGATACCTGAAATCCCTTGTACTGTTACACCAAAAAGTAGTTTTCTGGGCTGACATACCAGAGGTACAGACATGATTTACCCCAGAAAGGTCTCATTGTGTGTTCTTAAATCTGGTAGGAAAGGAGTGGGTTGTTGGTGATCCAGTCCAGCTACCCTGTATCCTTGCTCTAAGCACTTGGGCACTTCCTGCTTAGCTCAGTTTCTTCATTTGTAAAATGGAGCTGTCACTGTCTCCTTGTGCTCCCTTGCTCCCTTCAGTAACAACTCTTTCCCCTTTCACCCGTCACCCCCCCTGCCATACCTGCATCAGCACTGCATACTTAGTGGCCTGGGACCCTGAAGCATGTGTTGATGGAGTTAGTGGGATGTGGACTATTTTAATTCACATATGCTTTCAGCCCTTACCCTCCCCCGACCACAGCACCACATATTGTTGTTTTTGTTGTCCTTGTAGTGTTAACAATGATCCTGGCCCCTGTCTGAGCTGCCTGCGTCCACATCTTGTGGAGGATCCATACATGTCGATCTGTCAGTCAAAGCGTGTGATTTGGAGCAGAGTTCCTCAGAGAGAGACAGCAGTATGACCCGTGGGTCAAAAGAAAGACTATGGACTTGCGTGTACTGAGCCTTCTAAACACTCAGAGCTCAGCAAGAGAAATCTGCCACAATCATATCCCCATCCTTCCCTGGATTTTCTCCTTGCTTTTTGTATGCTCACTAAGGGACTTCTCCATCCTGCTTGACACTCTTGGCTTCAGTGTTCTTTTTCCTGATTTCTCCATCTCTCTGCAGTAATCTATGGCATGTTGTGTCTCTGCCCCTAGAGGCTCAGTGCTGCGGGACCTCTGTGTGCAGCACTGGACAGAGCTGGAAGCAGGCGGTGACTCTGTCCTGGGAGAGGGTCCGTAACAGCACACAGTCCTTGAGAAAGGAAGGGGAGTCACTTGGAGAGTAGTTAGGGATGGATGTCACAGTGCTGGGTTGGATTTCCCTGGCTCAGAAGGGAACGCATGATTCCAAGTCCTGGGGAATCATGAGATGCGGCGGGGAGGAGGGAAAATGAAAATTCCAAGCAGGAACAGCAGTGCAGAAAGAGAAGATGGGGGAGCATACACACATGGCCCTCTCACACTGAATTGAGTCTGCTGAAAGCACAAAAACAGCCAGGATTTCTTCTGTCATTGTTTTCTTTTCTAAGAATCATGGTGCAGTTGTATACCAACATTTCCCACACAACCTACATCTCCTCTTTCTTGAATGTTTGCAGGGATTGGAATTCATAGACATTTCACCCGGCTATTTTTGATTTCCTTCCAAAGCTCTTAATTGTCTGTGCAGGTTTTTGGTGAAAGGAGTTTTATAGAGAATAGTTTGCAGAGAGGTAAACAGTATGAGGCAAAAGGGGAGTTCAATTAGTTGTTATAGATTTGAGAAGTAAACTCTGAGAAGCACACTGGCAACAGATGCAGCTGCATGATTCGCTGACTGCATACTGGGGCAGGCAAACAGACGGAGCATAGGCTATCATGTCTGCCCTTGTGGGATTCTGGTCCCACCTTGGGTGTTATTCGCTGTACATCTTGGGCAAAGAGTCTAATCCTTTGAGTGGTCGGGTGAGATACCCAGATGGGCTCATGACAGCCAGAGTGGTGATATGTATTTAAAGAGAATACATTGGTGAGGCTTGTGGCAGATGTCTGTTCCATTTATGGTGTACTAGTTATCCATTGCTGAGTAACATACTGTCCCCAATTTAGCGACTTATAACAATTCACTATTACCTTTTATAGTTGAGTTTAGTGAAGTCATCTGGGTGGTTTTTACTTGGGGTCTCTCATGCTGTGTAGTCAGATGGCTGGAGTCACATGAAAGTTTGACTGAGTTGGAAGTCCAAGATGGCATCTTTGTCCACCATCTGGCACCTCAGCTTGGATGCTTAGAATAGCTAGGTATGGCTGGGCATCTCTCTCTCTATCCATGCAGCTTCTCCACATGGCTAGCTAGTGCTTCCTCCCAGCATGCAGGTCTAGAGTATTCAGACTTCTGACATGACAACTGACTTCTCCCAGATGAAGCTCCCAAGAGCACAAGATAGGCTACAAGATTTCTTATGACTCATCGTCTGAAAGTGTAGAGTGTCACTTTGCTCTGTCTCATGGGTGACTCAACGACAGCTCAGATTCACATAGAAGGGGCACTGGGGCATGAATATTTGCGGGTAGGGTTCCTTTGGGAGGGGGGCATTTTTGGAGACTAGCTCAACATGCAAGGTGATTGCAAAGTAGGGTCCTTCATCAGTTATGGGTTGTGTGCACTGTCCATGCGGCTTTTTTCTCTATGACCAGACACTATGTCCATCTGGGAATAATCCCAGTGCTACTTTGTCCTCAACATCCTGGGAATAGCACAGAGTAGGACAATTTTATTCTTCTTGCTACAGTCACCGAATCAAGATGCTATGGACACATTTTAGATTTATAATTCATCTTCAGCCATTCACCAAGAAGGGTTTTTGACTGTTGTCGTTGCTGCTGCTGCTGTTGCTGCTGTTGTTGTTGTTTAGCAGAAGGGATAATGTGTGAGGAGCTGTTGGATGGAACCAAGATGAGACAAGGAAAAGTGGATTCGGAAGCAGAAAGGAAGCATAATAAAGAAAGTCAACTAAGAACCTGCTTCAGTTCTTAACGCAGACCAGGTTAATCCTAGAAGGTAGAAGCCCTAGAGGTGAAGGACGTTCAAGAAATCCTCTCTGTCATTGTGTTAAAGCTATGCCAGCCGCCACCTTCCTTGGTTCAGTGCCTCAGTTTTTGAACACGACAGCTGTTCAGACACTCTGTATTCGTCTCTTCATTCACCGAACAGATATACAGTGAGCAGCTGCTCTGGGCTAGGAAATGTGTTAGACACTTTGGGAGATATGAAGATGAATCAGACTAGAATTTGGGCAGAACACAGCCCCCACACAGAAATCCAGAGTATGCTGTAGTGCGGGAGGGGGTGGGGAGGAAAGTAATCTTGATAAAGAATTGCAGCTCTGTCTGCTCAGCTCCGCTGGTGTAGGGATGACATCTCCTATCACCGCTGCCACCACCGTCACTCTTTTGCCCTGGAGACTGTCATTCTGTAAGGATCTGGCAGCACCACAATAGTGCTTCTCCCTCGCGGAGGGAAGGTACCTACTTTGGACTCAGACACAATGTGGGTTGTCTCAGAAACTGGCTCCAAGACTTCATATCCCCCTACAGGTTTGCTGGAGCAAATGTATGTGACGTATGTAGTGTATTGTAAGAAGTTGGATGAATGGCTCCCTTTATCTTTTTGTCCAAGTACCAAATACACACACAGTCACACCGTCTTTTGATACCTTTAAACCCATGGTAGGTTTTTCCCATTTCCTACACAACTGTGATCATTTGTTTACATCTCTCCACACCTGGGCTGTTTTCCTCCAAGAAAAGTCTATCTATGCAACTGTGTATCCCCAGTGTCGAGCAGTATGTCATTTTATCGGTTCATGTCACCTTTAGATTAATAATGGTCCTTTCACTTTTTGCAGAAATCACTGTATTTTCGGCTCAGTGGACCCGTGACACTTATTCCTGTTGTCATTTGTTGAGTGACCAATCAGATGGGTGGAGTGTGTTATAGAAATTGGCAGCAAGTATCCAATGGGTGAAGAAGGTAAGATGGACCCACTTTACTATACTATGGATGTGGAGGTGGAAATGATGCCCAGTGGGCCCCTCCCTGCAACCTGTCTTTGTTTGAACCTTCACCAAATCTAAAGAAGTACCTGAGATGAAAGCTGGCCTACTTTCTTGGGATTTGAGAAATGTGATTATTCACTGTTGTTCTTGGGGTCTCTTTATTGAACATCTGTTAATGTATTATTAGTACAAACGTGATAATTTTTTGTTTGTTTTTTTGGGGGGGGGGAAGAGGGGTGACTATAGAAGATTCAGAGGAGGAAGAAAGAACTAAAAGAGATTCTTCAGCAAAAACTCAGCTGGATAGACTAGAAAAATTGCCATGTTGCTTTTTCCCACCTTTTCTTCTTTTGAAGATAATTCTATAAATGTGAACAAGGTGGCTTACATCCCATGGCCAGGAGGCTGAACCTTTTAGACCTTGAAAGAAAGAACATAAGATCATAAGCCAAAAGGCTGATTTCAACTGCCAGGCCCAGCTTTTCCATTCATTTTCCATGTGCCCTTAGGTTAATGAGCTCTTTTTCAGGCCACAGGGTGGTTGGACCTAGGGTCTTTAACAGTTTTTAAGTTTTAGGATTCTATGAATCCAATTATCTCCTCTATTTTTTCAGTGGTAACTGAAGCTATTTTTGTAAGACATTCTAATATCCAGGTAGAAATTTAATAATTAATTCTACCAGCATTATTCCCTACATTTTAGGGGTCTAGACCCATCTATCCATATGTCTATGGCTCATCTCCATGTAGATGTCCACCAAGTGCCTTAAATGCAGAGGCCAAATATAAGTCATGCTTTCTCCTCTAAACCTTCACTTTGTCCTATGTGTCACATTTCAGGGTAGCATCACAATTAACCCAGATCAGAAACATGGGAAGGGTACCATATGCCTCTCAATCCCTTACCTCCAACAGCAGTTTATTCCTATTGCTTCTTACTGGTGCTACTCTGATTATCTCTGATATATATATATATATATATATATATATATATATATATAT